TTAAATGCAAAATTAGGAAGACTCAAAACAGGCGATAATGGTAATGTAGAAGTTGGAACAACAATACCAGATCCAAGAACGGGTGAGGTAGATCCATCAGCTAAAGTGACACTAGAAGTAGGTAAATATGAATGAAATGACGAGAATAGACTAGGATTACCGGTCATATGATCTGTGGCACCCGAGTCAATGACCCATTTGAGGATGAGGAAACAAGACACGTGTTTGAAATACCTGAATTAGCGGTTACCGAGATAGGGACAGAGGAATGCTTTAGAGATTCTTGGTAGCAAATAAATTTGGCATACTCGTCTGAAGAAATAGCAATTGATCCATCGGATGAACTGGTAGCGGAAGCAACATGAGCAAGCTGATTTCCTTGATTTTTGAACAACAATTTTCTACATTCTTTGATCAAGTGTCCGGGCTTCTTACAGTAATTGCATATTACTCCTCTGTCAAATCAACTCGTACAAGACATTTTTTTTTAATTTTTTTTTTATTTTTTGTTTTATTTATTTTTGATTTTTTTTTGGAAAGGGGTTAAAAATAAAATAACATAAAACACTTGAAATATTCAGTGAAAACTGGACTCACCGCAGTTTTCCCGTTTGTGGATTTAAAATTTGGAGAATAAAATGTCCAACTTGGGCTTTGGACTGCTGCGCTCCAAACTTAAATCCAAAGTAGATGCGCAGATCTGATGCGAGACCCCAGCAGATAGCACATCCAAACAACCAGTGAAGGAGCGGATGTCTGGAGATATGCGAGACCCAGCAAATCCAGCGATTGAACAACCACCGGACCTCCTCTCACAGCTATCTTCCCTTTGGGCATGCGGAGTTTGGATCGCCGGTCGCCGGCGGCAGGCAAACCGAGGGTGAGGGGGGTGAGACAGATGTTGGACTAAGGTTTTGAACTAGTGTCCTCTGATGTTCTGCTGAGGTTCTGAGACTGCCGATGTTCTGAACGGGAAGAAACTGGGCTGTGAAATTAGAATCAACTGGAACAGAAAGTCTCTGATTTTGAAAAGGGTTCCCAGCTTCTGAGATAGGAGGTTCTGGGAAGAAGTTCTGGGAAAATTTCTGGGAAGAGTCTGGGAAGAGGTTCTGGGAAAAGATTCTGGGAAGAGGTTTTGGGAAGATGTTCTGGGAAGAGGTTTTGGGAAGATGTTCTGGGAAGATGTTCTGGGAAGAGTCTGGACTGAAATCAACTTCGTGGAGAAAGAACACAATCTGAAAACTGAACTGAGATATGACAAACTAAACTGAAATCTGAAAAGAAAAACTTAACTGAAGTGGATGTCTCTGATACCATGTTGAAATAGAAACTGAAATGATATTAAAATGGAGAGAAGGATTTTCTGTGTATTTCATTAGAGAGTTAAGGCCCTATATATATATTACAAAGATGGAATATTCCTATATAAGATGCTATACAATAATAATATCTAGAGTATATTCTTAAAGCATATTCTAGAGCATATTCCTAGATACAATAATACTTTCACAGGTTCATTGTTGATGATATTAGAGATTTTTTAACTAGTTTTTCTAGTATAACCATATCTTCATGTGAAGCGGTCATCAAATCAGATTACTCACCAGCTGGCTAGAGCAGCCGTTTCAATGTCTGATGGCTGGTTTTATTTTGATAATCCCCCGAGTTATATTTTGTTGTATTTGAACAATGATTTGATTAGTAATCGTTGATTTTGTTTTTCTAAAAAAAATGTTGTATCACAGAGTCCACCACCGACTGATGATGAATTTTGGAGACCATAGAAAGATATCCCATAGCCATAGTGATCCTTCCAGTTCAATAAACTCATATCATTATAACAAGCTTCAACATCAAGTAGTCCTATGATATATGTGAAATTATAAAAGAAGTCTTTTATCAACTATAACCACCTAAACATTAAGACCTTGCATGAGGGTACTAAGAAATCTAATAAGGGTTTAAATTAACAGACATGTTATATATGGAGTATTAGCTGATTTTTTTGCCACATCCAGAATTGAGATACATTTTCTCATTATGATATTGCCGGACAGAAGATTGTAAAGTCAAAGTCTCAAAGTAAGGGAGGCAGAATCACAAATGCTAAAGGTACCCCAAAATGTACCTCATTTTTACCCCACCCCTAATGTGTGGCCATAAATGGGGCAATTCATTTAAGTGGGCAACACTTAAATGAATTGGACCATTTATGACCACACATTAGAGGTGAAATAAAAATGGGGTACATTTTGGGATACCAAGTTAAGTTCACATCCATGAATGTGAAGTTTGTTCAGTCCACACCAACAAACATACATAACCTGAGTTCTATAACTCAGAAGAAGAGACAGCAATCATTCGTAATATAGGCATATACTCATATAGTGACAGAGATCACTCATTTAGTCATTAAGCAGAAGATGATTTTGAAGAGTAATAAAAAAAAGTACTCCCTCTGTTCCTAAATAAACTTCCAACTTTCCTTTTTCGTCCGTTCCAATTAAAACTTCCACTTTCCCTTTTTGGTAAAGAATTTGTGGTTCACAACATTTTTTACACATTTCTCTCTCCTCTGCACAACTCTCCACCACACAATATCCAGTGTCTTAAACTTTGTGCTAAACGCATTTGGAAGTTAAAATCGGAACGGAGGTAGTAATTGCTTACCGCAGCACACGTACTCTCAGAAGCAGCTCAAGCAATCTCTAATTGAAGGTACCAGAAGCACAATAAAAGCAGAATCTTTTAGAGATGTTTCTACACAATTTAGAAAGTCAGAAAAACCAGGCTCAGATATTGCATTAGAATATCACCACAAAGGCAGAAACCCTAGTCATAACATTTCTGAAGGGAATGATTATTCACATGTGAGTGGCATATTAGCACATTTAAAGAACAAACTGTGGAAGAAGAAGAAACTTACATTTCCAACTTCATCAGCATTGATGAGCACAAATTCATTCCTATCGTGAGAGCCAGCAATAAGTCTCCCCCTGTATTCATAGCCATCTCTTGCAGAACCTCCACGAGATCAAAATATTGCAAATTCTCCAAAAGATACAACTTGGAGAGCCAAATATTAGCCTGGACTCAAAAACCCTCCCCAAAAGGCTCTTAAAGGCGCCACCATTCACCAAGGAAATGGAGTTTATTCATCCGTGACTCTATGGAATTGGAGTTTAGTCATCATGTGACCGTATGGAATTGGAATTTATTCATCCGTGACTGTTTATACATACAAACCAAGGAGTGATTTTAGTAATGCACAGCTATAAGTAGTTAAGTACGGCTAGTCGGCTACTACAAGAGGATAATTACTCCCCCCCTCCCTATTTACAACTACATACCCATTCCAATTACATAAAAGTGATAAAACTTGAGAAAATTACACTGCTTGTTATTCTTTTTGACACTGCTTTACATTGTTTTGCACTGCTTTATTTTACTAAATAAGGAAAGAGATATTTTTAAGGGACGGGTCGAAAATGAAAGTGAAATGTTTATTTAGGAATGGAGAAAGTACAAAACAAGATAAAGACATCAAATGTGGAAAAAGTGGAAAATGTGAAAAAAACAATAGTCAAGTACCAAAAGTGGAAAAAATGTAAAATGTTGACTTAATGTAGATTTGACGTAAAACTCGTAGGATCAAAAGTGAAATTAATTCTAAGAAATCTAATACTTATCTTGTAAAATTAAGAGCTCATTTGGGGACCTGGGTTTTTGATTTATTAGACCTATCAACCAACTTTTTATTTCATCAATATCAGCAAAATCAAGTGATTCAGTCAATTTCATGGTTACCAAACACGCTCCAAGTGTTCTTTAAGTTATGTTCTTAAGATTTTTTTGAAGTTCTTAAGAAGTTATATCTTTTTAATGATTTTACAAACAGATTAAGTAGTTATTCAATGCTTGGAGAACACGTGATCCAAAAAAATGCTTGGAGAACACAAATGAAGGGATGGGAAGTTAATTTGGTCCTACCTTTTTATCCTAATATCCATACCCATAACCCATACTTCATAGGTTCTATTTCTCAGCCTTTTTATGAACCTGATTCATCCATTCATCTATATAATCATTTCAAGGTTTAGACGATCCTTCCAAAAAAAACAGAACTATAAATTTACGACAGGAAGGAGATTAATGGTTATCATCTTAAATTATGTATACTTCTTAATTAAGTTATACGGAGTATGTTCTTAACAAGTTATGAGCCCGTTTGGCAACACGAAAATCGGTTGTTCTGGCTGATTCTGCTGAAATTTATGAAATTCTGTCTGAAGTGACTGCATTGCCTGATTCTGTTGATACAAGAAAAAAATATTTTTAAAATATATTTTATTAATAAAATAAAGAAAAAAATTTATGTAAAAATAGCTAAAATGGTCATCTACAGTAACTTCAACCAATACAACCAGAAAAGTAACTTCAACCTTACTTTTTCGACTTATTACACAATTCAGCGCGCGAAAAGTAAAATTTACGTGCTTGATAAAAAAATTGGTTAATAAGCTTGATAAGCCGAAAATGAGGGTTGCCAAACGGCCTCTATATCTTCTTAATGTTCATCTCTACTTACGTATAGTACGGAGTATTTAATATCTGAGTTTGCATTTCATATTTTTATTGCTGATTTTTTACTTCATAAAAATATGAGAACCCTTCAAATTCAAGAATAAAAACTAAAAGCTTGAGAGTTATAATCAAACACTCACTACAAAAAAAATCGCCTGTAGTCACGGACCGTAGTCACGGATTTGGTCCGTGACTAGTTAGTCACGGTTCTAATCACGGTTTAGTCACGGAACCGTTAAAAAAACAGTAGTCACGGATTTGTCCGTGACTACGTCCGTGACTATATTTGAAATTAGTCACGGACACGTCCGTGACTAATTCCGTGACAAGTGCAAAATTGATTTTTTCAACGTTCCAAATTTAAAGTGCACCGACAATTCGTACAAAAAAATGTATGCAGCCTCCGCTTCATTCAACAAAATCACACCATCTACTCCTGATAGAATTCCAGATAGAATTGAAGGATGTAATCTACCCATCTCATATCATTTTTCCTGTTTATGCAGATAAGGTATGTAATTTGAATTACGTATTTTTTGTAAATTAGTTAAATATGTAAGTTTGTTAATAAATACATATGTAAGTATATTATTAAATATAATATTGGCAATACATATGTTATTAATTTTAAAATATAGGGTTAAAATTACGTAAATTAGTTAAATACGTATGTAAGTATATATGATTAAATATAATTTAAATGCATATTATTAATATTAGTTAAATGTAAGTATTATTTAATTCAAATGACTTTATATATATATATATATATATGATTAAATATAAGTATATGATTTCTTTATATTGGCAATTATTGTTAATTAAGGCGGCCTAATTTAGGATTAATAATGATTTAAATTAGGGTTAGTTAATTTAATTTAAATGTGTTTATTATATATATCTGCTCAAATTATTGGATTTGCTCATATTATTTAATTTAGTAAATTGTTAAATGTGCATTATTAATAAAATTAAGATGTTGATAATTTTAGTATTGTGGATTAAATTAATGTCATTAACGTATTGTGCATGTTTATAGTTTAATAATATTAATTATTGGACGTTAGTTACTTTTAATGGAATTTTAGTGAATTTTAGTGAAATTTTAGGCAATTAGTTAATTTTAAGGGAATTAGTTAATTTTAAGGGAACTTTAGGGAATTAGTTAATTTTAAGTGAATTTTAGTGAAATTTAAGGAAACTAGTTAATTTTAAGGGAATTTTAGGGAATTAGTTAATTTTAAGAGAATTTTAGTGAAATTTAAGGAAACTAGTTAATTTTAAGGGAATTAGGTAATTTTAAGGGGAATTTTAGGGAATTAGTTAATTTTAAGGGAATTTTAGTGAAATTTAGTGAAATTTAAGGAAATTAGTTAATTTTAAGGGAATTAGTTAATTTTAAGGGAATTTTAGGGAATTAGTTAATTTTAAGGAAATTTTAGTGAAATTTAGTGAAATTTAAGGGAATTAGTTAATTTTAGGGAATTAGTTAATTTTAAGGGAATTTTAGTGAATTTTAGTGAAATTTAAGGAAACTAGTTAATTTTAAGGGAATTAGTTAATTTTAAAGGAATTTTAGGGAATTAGTTAATTTTAAGGAAATTTTAGTGAAATTTAGTGAAATTTAAGGGAATTAGTTAATTTTAAGGGAATTTTAGTGAATTTTAGTGAAATTTAAGGAAACTAGTTAATTTTAAGGGAATTAGTTAATTTTAAGGGAATTTTAGTGATTTTTAGTGAAATTTAAGTAAACTAGTTAATTTTACGGGAATTAGTTAATTTTAAGGGAATTTTAGGGAATTAGTTACTTTTAAGGGAATTTTAGTGAATTTTAGTGAAATTTAAGGAAACTAGTTAATTTTAAGGGAATTAGTTAATTTTAAGGGAATTTTAGGGAATTAGTTAATTTTAAGGAAATTTTAGTGAAATTTAAGTAAACTAGTTAATTTTACGGGAATTAGTTAATTTTAAGGGAATTTTAGGGAATTAGTTAATTTTAAGGGAATTTTAGTGAAATTTAAGGAAATTAGTTAATTTTAAGGGAATTTTAGGGAATTAGTTGATTTTAATATATTAATAATACTCCACATATAATACGTTGGTAATGTTTATAATTTAGAGTTTTTAACCTGTTTAATTTTTTATTATAATATTCAGGCATAATGTATAGACAAAATAGAATTTGGATGTATGATAAACATGCGGTATTGTACGGAATGCAATCAAATTTTCTTGAAGGAGTTGAGGAGTTTATTAAATTCGCACTTGAACACCCGACTTATATGAGTGGTGATAAAATCAGATGTCCATGTTCAAAGTGTAAAAATCTCAAATTTAAACACCCAGACGAAGTTGGGTGGGATTTGTACGCGGACAGTTTCCTTCCCAATTATTACAATTGGACTTCTCGTGGCGAACCTTTGGATCCATCTGTTTTACCACAAACGGTAGGTTCGTCTCGTAACGTCCCTGCAGAGATGAGTGCGTGGGGAGACCCTGCTGAAATGAGATGGGAGCAACATATGGTATATGACGCATACGGTGCATCGATGTCTCAGTTCAACCCCCCACAACCATCTAACGATCCTCCTGAAGCTTCGACCTCGTATCAACCACATGAGGAGGAAAATCCGATATATTATGAACCTTATGTGGATGAAGGTTTAGCTGAAAGATTTCAAGATGTTTTAAAAGCAGCTGATCAACCCTTGTATGCTGATTGTGAGGGATACTCTCAGCTATCCGCAGTTACAGAGTTTATGAACATAAAAGCTGAATACAGTCTCCCTGAAACATGCATGACTAGAGTCTTGCAGTCAGTAGGCGGGATGCTACCACGTGATCATAACCTTCCGGATTCATATTATCACATGAAGCAATTAACGTCTAAGTTGGGGCTACCTTATATAGAAATTGATGCGTGCCCGAAAGGATGTATGTTGTTCTGGAAGGATGATGAGACACTTGAATTCTACAAGTTCTGTGGTGGAAACAGATACAAACCAGTTCCTCAAAGTAGAAAGAAACCACGAAATAAGTCAGCATTATCTAAACTGTATTACCTCCCAATAGCTCCACGACTTCAGGGGATGTACGCTTCGACTGCTACTGCGAAACACATGACATGGCATGTTGAGCACGAAACAAAAGAGGGTATGATGTCTCACCCTTCGGACTGTGAAGCTTGGAGACACTTTGACCGTTGTCATCCTCAGTTTGCAATGGAGCCACGAAATGTGCGACTGGGATTGTGTTCAGACGGATTTGCTCCATTTGGACGGTTTGGGAAGAACTATTCATGTTGGCCGGTCATGTTAACTCCTTACAATCTCCCTCCCGACATGTGCATGAAAAGTCACTTTATCTTTTTGACTCTAATCTGTCCGGGTCCCAATGATCCAGGGGAAAAAATAGACATTTATCTCCAACCCTTAATCGAGGAGATGAAAGAACTTTGGGCCATTGGGACACCAACATATGATGTTTCAAGGGATCAAAATTTCATAATGAAAGCTGCCATCATTTGGAGCATTAGCGACTTCCCTGCCTATGGCATGCTTTCGGGATGGAGCACACATGGTCTTATGGGATGTCCGATATGCATGGAGAAATCAGGTGCCAATTGGCTAACTTTCAGTAAAAAACCAAGCTACTTTGATTGTCACCGCAAGTTTCTCCCGGAAAACCACCGATATCGAAGGGACAAAAAGTCTTTCATTAGAGGTAGAGTGGTAAAAGACACCCCGCCCCCGAGATTGACCGGGGAAGCAATTTTTAACCGGGTTCGACGTATTCCTACGGTTATGCAAGAACCAAATAAGAAGCCATATGGGTTTTGTGATACCCATAAGTGGACAAAGAGGAGTATCTTTTGGGAGTTACCATATTGGAAAGACCTTCTCATTCGTCACAATATAGATGTCATGCACACTGAGAAGAACGTGTTTGACAATATATTTAACACAGTGATGGATTTCAAAGGTAAAACTAAAGACGGTCTTGCATCTCGAAAAGATATGACTATTTGGTGTGATAGGCCCAAACTATCTGTTGATCTAGAATATCAGGGCAACAATATTCCAAAAGCAGTCTACCAAGTCACACAAGCACAAAAAGAATCAATATTACAATGGCTTGTGTCTCTGAAGTTTCCAGATGGCTACTGCTCCAACTTGTCCAGATGCGTGGACATGGACAAACTTGCAACGACGTCGAGCATGAAAACTCACGATTGTCATGTAATCATGCAAAGACTTCTCCCAATTGCACTGAAAGAGATGCTTCCTGAACACGTATGGTCCTGCATTACTGAGATCAGTTTGTTGTTTCAGTCAATATGTCAAGCGTTTTGGATGCAGCATCCCTCCGTAGACTAGAAGAGTCTATTCCCATGCTGATGTGTAATTTGGAAAAGATAATGCCTCCGTCGTTTTTCGATGGAATGGAACATCTTGTAATACATCTTCCGTATGAGGCTTTAAATGGTGGACCCGTCTTCTATCGCTGGATGTACAGATTTGAAAGGTTAGTCACAATTTCATTTATCTTTGAATATTTATTTCATAACAACATTAATCTGTGTACCACTTTTATTTTACTTTGCAGATTTCTTGGAGAGTTGAAAAAGAAAGTGACCAACAAGGCACACGTTGAGGCTTCAATTTGTCAAGCATATCTTCAACAAGAAATCTCAACGTTCTCATCTTTTTATTTTGAGCGTGAAGTCATCACTAGAAGAAAGAGACCTGCCCGAAATGATGACAATGACGAGGATTTGTATGAAAATGTAGTTTCCATTTTCAATTACCCAGGTAGAGGTAAAGGAGCTTGGACAAACCGATACATCGTGAGAAAAGAATTACAAATTGCGCATACTTATATGCTCATTAATTGTCCAGAAATCTTACCGTTTTATCAGTAAGTTAAATTTGTAGTTATCTTTGTAATATATATACAATTAAGGTAGTTGATTTATAATATTTTCATGTTTGACTTCACAGTGAATTTAGAGCGGAGTACTCAGCATTCCCTGACAATGAAATTGATGCATTGGTGGACTCTCATTTTATACCGTGGTACAAGCATCAGGTATATATACACACACACATTAATTATATATATTATTAATTAATAATATTTAATAATTACCCAATGTTATCGTGTTTTAATTTACAGATCAATAACCGTGGGATTGTGGACCCTTTGTTAGTATCATTATCGTGGGGCCCTGGTGCCTACGCCAAAGTTTGGCGGTCATATGTGATAAACGGTTACACCTATCACACAGTCGCTTACGGACAGGGCCGACCAACAGTGAACAGCGGGTTATGTGTCCCAACAATCGGTTATGATAACTCGGAAACCAATTTTTTTTGTGTCTTGCACGAGATTCTCGAACTGGAAATGCCTTCTGCTGGGAAAAAGTTGACATGTGTTTTGTTCCGCTGCAAATGGATTGATCCAACACGTGGTGTGCGAAAAAATTCAAAGTATAATATGATTGACGTCAACCACTCTCGCGTGTATACGAAAAATGAGCCTTTTATACTTGCTCAACAAGCAGCCCAGATTTATTATACAGAATATCCTTCAACCAGGCGGACACAGAATCCTTGGGTGTGTGCATGTACTGTCCGTCCGAGCAAAATTGTATCACAAACTCAACACAAGGACGTTGATTTAGATGCTTTTCAGCAACATTTTTTCCAACCTCCACTGATTGTTGAGACGGTCAACCAACACATTCAGCTAAGTGATCCAAATGGGGGAAGTGTTGAAGTCATGCCAGAAACGCACCTTCCGGACCTAACAATTCCATCTGAGCGCGAAATTGTTGAAATGCATGAAGAACAACAAAATGCTTAAGAAGATGTTGTATATGTAGAAAATAATGACTCTGATAGTGACTAATTGTATTGTTGTATTACAATTTTTTTGAGTTCGAATATTTGTACTCTTTTCTTCATTATTATTGTAGTCCAACAATATTTGATTTTTTTCTTCATCATTATTACTCCGTAAAAAATAAGTACGAAACGCACAAATTTTTTATCACAATCAACTAACGAAACATTAATCATTTATCATAATAACCAAACAAACAAATACAAAATTATTCATCAATATCAAAACTTTCAAGAGGCCTAGCCAACAGCTCGTTAATTTTCCTTTCAGCTTCTTCGTTGATCGGATCCATATACTCCGAACATTCTTCTGCACGTTGAAGCATCCGACACAAGTTGTTTGCTTTTGACTTGTCGAGTGAGTCGGATTCCTCATCTTTATAGTCGCCAAAACTTTCAAGGGGTCTAGCCATCAACTCAGTGATTCTCTGGTATGCTTCAACGGTTTTCGGCTCCATAAGCTGTGTAATTAGCTTGAGTCATTTCATAGCTCTGCACATCGAATCCCAGTCAATTGGTTCTCGATTAGCCATTTTTTTCACAAACAGTGGACCGGAAATCATCTATTTATACTCAAAAATCGAATATAATAAAGTGGAATTTATTCCACTGTCACCTGACGCCGGCCTGCGCGTGTTGAACGGATGGAAAGTATTTAGTCACGGACGGGTCCGTGACTAGATCCGTGAATAATTCAAAAATCGGACAGGTCCGTGACTAGGTCCGTGACTAATTCAATTTTTTTTGAATTAGTCACGGACCTACTCACGGACGGTCCGTGACTAAGGCGGTCAAAGGCGACCCTGACACCTCGTCTGCCGCGCGTCTGACTTCGTAATTTACGACGGCTAGTCACGGATTATCCGTGACTAGGTCCGTGACTACGCCTTCATATAAAATCAACACTTAGCTGATTTTTCATTCTGCATCCTCTCCAACCCAAAACCCTACCTCTTTCTCCCTAACTCTTCTACACTCCACCGATCTCAACTCCAACTCTGCCTTCAACCGTTCGCTGCCACCGTTCGCTGCCGCCGTTCGCTGCCGCCGTTCGTTGCCGCCTTTCACCGCCGTTCGCTGCCACCGTCTTCTGCCACTATAAAAAAATATTAATTTTTTGAAGCGATCAAGATGTGCTCAACCAAATCAAAATCATAATTGGTGGACACTTTCTTGGCAACTGGGCTACGTACACGGATGTTGACCCTAAGGTCCGTGAACTTTGGTGGAGCTTGTTCAAGGTAAAAAAATCAATTTTTCGTCATTGATGTAACCTAACATTTGACAAATGATAAGTTAATTTATTTTTTTAATAAAGGCCCGGTTTCGCTGGACTAAAGAACAAGGCCCCGCTATTCTAAGGGCGTACAATGCCAGAGTTTCAAACTGGCTTCGTCCCACTTTTAAGCGTGCCCGAGCCAGTGGGGTAAGGCCTCAATGGTGTTCGGATGAGGTATGGGAAAACCTCGTCCGCCACTGGTCTTCGGATCCGACTTTCTTGGCTAGAAGCGAAGCCGGGAAGAAAAATCGGATGTCCGAGAAGGCATTGACGACACAATGGCACGGAGGCCGCAAACCCCAGAGTAAACATAAAGAAGCTCTTGTAAGTCTTATTCATATAAACCTACATCATTTTAACCTTTTATTTTTTTACATTTATTTAAACCTTTTTCTAACCTTGTAGGTGGGGCCTCAAAAGAAGAGGGTCCCTATCCTCAGTGTAATCAAACACTGTTGGACGAAGAGCGGTGTTGAGTCGCCAGCCAATCTACCACCCCGCCTTGCTGAAATCGAAGTATGTAACATCAATACTATTATTTCAAATTGAAGTAAATATCATTTGAATAATTTTTTAAAATGTTTGTAGACAAAGTATTACGCAAATGTTGAAAAGAAGCGGGCGGAACTAGGCTTGACTCAAGAAGATGACATCGATTCTGATGTGGAAGATGATGCCATCCTTGAGGCAGCAGGGGTGTACAAGGGTCGGCTTCCATGCCTCGGAGCTGAGGGGCAACGTATTTTGTACGATCGCAACGGCAGCGGAGCTTCATCATCTTCTCGATCTAGGCGAGGAGAAGATCCACGCATTGCCCAATTGCAGTGAGAATTGGAGGAGCAGCAGCGTGCATTTGAACAGCAACGGAAGAATGATGAAGAAACGAGGGCCCGGCTGGAAGCAATGGAATGGATCCTTGCTGGATATCAGCCTCCGCCTCAGCCTCATCCTCGGCCGTACATTATGCACGTTGAGCAGACTCCTCAGGTTCCGCACATGGGTAGTATGGGTTACCACTCTAACTCCGGTTATGGTGCCATGCCTGCAATAGGGTCGACATTCAGATCTATGTCGTCTGATATGCTCAATCAGTTTCAGTTATCGGGTGGAGGCAACCGAGGAGGCAGCCGAGGAAGCCACCGAGGAAGCAACCGAGGAGGCAACCGAGGCAACCGAGGAAGTTCCCGACCCTTGGACACCGTGGATGCAGAAGAGGATCATCATCGTGACTATGATGATAATGATGATGAATATGATTATGATGATTGTAATTTTTATCACAATGGAGTCCGACGTACGGGCATGTAATTACATAATATTGTTTGACATTGTATGGATTTTGTTTTTATAATTCTGTCTGTAATAACATTTTTTATGTTTAAGATTGTATGGAATTTATTTTTATTCTAATTGCTTTAAAATAAAATTAAAATAATTTTTTATTTTTTTATAAAAAATTGTTTTTTTTTTAAAATCAAAAACATTAGTCACGGACTAAATCCGTGACTACTTTTTAATCCGGAATAAATTCAATTTTCAATTTTTTTATTTTTTTTATTTAAAATCGACTTTTTTTTAAAAACAAAAACATTAGTCACGGACCAGATCCGTGACTACATTTTATCCGGAATAAATTCAATTTTTTTAAATTTAACATAGTCACGGATACGTCCGTGACTACTTTAAAAATAAAAAAATTTAAATTAAACGTAGCCACGGACCCTGTCCGTGACTAACTCAAAAAAATTTAAATTAAAAGTAGTCACGGATCCGGTCCGTGACTAACGTACCGGAGGGCTTATTCCGGTCAAGATGTAGTCACGGATCGACGTCCGTGACTAATCCGTGACTACACCTAGTCACGGCCAAAGTCCGTGACTACATTCTAGTCACGGACGAAGTCCGTGACTAAAAGTGTTAGTCACGGACTTTTTACACTACGGTCCGTGACTAAGTCCGTGACTAAAGGCGAATATTTTTGTAATGACTTTATGTTAGTTGAAGTACATGTTTATAACTAGGGTTGTAAACGAATCAAATAATTTGTGCTCGATTCGCAATTCGAATTCGTATAAGACAATTCAAATTTGGAAAATTCAAATACAAATACAAATAAAAATATTAAATTTGATTCGAGTTGTTATCAAATACAAATAAGAATATCAGTGTATTCGATTCGAATATTAATCAAATTTATTCGATTAATAATAATGGTAATATTAATATCAATAATAATACTCCCTCCGTCCCGGAATTATCTTCATACTTTCCTTTTCGGTCTGTCCCAAATTTATCTCCTCTTTCCCTTTTTAGCAAAGAACTTGTGGTTCACAACCATTCTTACACATTCTCACACATTTCCCTTTCCTCTGCACAACTCTCCACCACACATTTCCCACTATCTTAATCTGTGTGCCATTTGTACTTCAGGAGATAAATATGGGACGGAGGGAGTAATAGTCATAACACTATAATAACTTTTAAAATATAGCAATACCCTCAAAATGTAGGCTATATATACATTTTTGCATACACATTCCAAGCCCATTTGTAATAAACCAGAATATAAATACAAATACAAATCAATTTTTTGGTTCAAATGTCTTTCAAATACAATAAAAATAATTATGTATTTGATTTGAATAATAAAATTAGAGTTGTTTGACTTTGATATATACAATTATCAACTTATTTCACACATTATAAGTATAATTTCTTATATATGTTTGTTAGTACGTGTTTATTTCAAAAGATTTGAAATAGATTTATATTTATTAATCGTAAAATTAATTCACTTTACTATATTGTGCACCAACTAAAAATGCATTGATCCATTAAATTTAAATTTTAAAAACACATTTTAAATCATAGCATGTATTTACAACATCAACAATACGTAGTATACGAAAAGTTATATTAAAGGGATATTTGACTAATATTTAACCAATGCTCAAATCGATTCGATATTCGTATATGATTCGTTAACTATTCGTATTGTTAAACAAATACAAATCAAAATTAATATTCATTTCATATTTGAATTCGAATTCGTATTCGAAAAAAATAAACAAATACAAATACAAAATCTCATTATTCGACTCGATTCGTTTACAACCCTATTTAGGAGGTGCAATAGATGCTTGGTACCGAGGCCCACTCATTTATTTTTATAGATGTTATGTATTATTAAAGATTTCAAAACGTATATAATTTTTGGATTCTCTAATTTGTCCATTTTAAACATCATAAAACATATATTTCATTGAGCTATCTAGTCTACATGTATTTCATTGTTCAAATTTGCAAATTTGTTGTTTTTGAGGGCCTCAATTTTTCATTTGGAACCGGCGCCTCCAAATTCATTAGACGGCCCTGCTATGTTCGGGTTTTCATTCTCATAACAAATGAAAACTAAATGCTTTAATTTGCTAGTGTTTTTAATATTTAACATATGATAACATGTTAACTTGGTGATATCATGTTACTGTGAGAGCTTCATCACATTTTTATGTTAAATTATTGGACTTATACTACATGTAATATTCACAATATGATATGTTATTTATTGAGTTTAATTGTATGTTATATGCTATCTTATATTTAGGCCCAAAAATTAATGGTCCTATGGATATTAATTTAAGTGAGCTAATAAGTTATCTAATAAGGTATATGACCCAAATGTGTAGAGACACATGAGCTTAACCTAATTAATGATGAGCTGATTAGGGTTAAGCACTCTTTATAAATAGAGGGGTTATGGTCACTAGTTGAACACGACATTCCGTCTTTCTGCATCCCATCGCTTGAGAGATAATCCCGAGGGTGTGTATCAACTACAAGACGCAAACCCTAGTCTTCGTCTCTCAGATCTCTAAAGGTCATCTCCAATGGAGTCAGGTACGTTTCCGCTCAGTTATTTCTCTAGATAATTCTAATATGAAGATTAAAGTATTCATGGATATATTCCAACAATTGATATCAGAGCCTTCTTCATATTGAATTATTTAGAGCATTCGTACTTTTGTTTCAATCTTAAATGATTGAATTTTTGAAATTTCTTTTGTCGTCAAATCTGCCGATTTTACTTTTCCGTAATTCGTTCCTATGTATCCCTGTTGACTATTGTGAATCGGTGCTGATAGTCTCATCGAAACCATTATATGGTAATCGGAGTTTCATTATATTTTTTGGAGTGAGTGGCGTTTGTTATTGTCTACTCCTTATTTATTTGTTTATTCATTCTTCCAATTGATTACATTTGAGATGCTCATGATTATAATATGTAATCAAAATTTCAACTACTCCGTACTATTGTCTACTTCGAATTTATTTGTTTATTTGGAGATGCTATGTATCCCTGTTTATATGTAGTTGATGTTAGGAATTTTATCAATTCAGGACACGAAAGATAGATTAATTATCAATTCAGGATCTGAAAGATAAAATGCATCGATATAGGACCCAAATGATGAAAAACTATCAATTTAGGATCTGAATGATTGAAAACTATTAATCTAGGACCTAAGTTGTCATAATTTTTTTTATTAAAATTTTTTAAATATTATTTCGTTTTATTAAACTAAATTGATAGTTTCCATCATTCGGGTCCTATACCGATACGTTTATCGAAAATTAGTAATGGAATTAATAAAAAAATTAAATAAATCAAAACCTATGAAACGTTAGGTCCTCAATTGATAGTTTCCATCATTCGGGTCCTATACCGATACGTTTCATCTTTCGGGTCCTGAATTGATAATTAATCTATCTTTCGGGCCCTGAATTGATAAAATTCCTTGATGTTATACATATTAATCAAAATTCCAATTAATCAAAATTTCCAATTGATTACATTGGGATATACAAATTTCTAAATTTATACATGTTATTTATATGTAGTTGATGTGATTCGGCAATTGATTATTAATCTAAAGAATTAAACATTCCATTTAGATGATAATGATTCTTCATATTACCGATCTGAGTTTTTTGTTTTGGATTTCGGCACAGTTAAGAATTCATCATTATTTTGGCTTTGTCGAAATAAGGAGTCGATCAATCTTAGGATTGATATTTTGGAAGACAAATCATCTTTTGTGTTTCTTTTGTTTTCAATAATTAGTAAGTTATAATATATACTAAAACTACATACTAGTAATACGGAGTAGTATCGATACTTTATTAGATGTGGCTTATCGAGTTGATTCATAGTGAATCATAGTTTTGTTCTTGAATCATACCGAAGTATATGGGTATCAAATTAAATTTTGATATGTTTCCTTTTATGGGTGATTGAATTTTAGAATTTTCTACGGCTTTGGTAATTAATTACATTTATGTGATCATGATTTGCGGCTTGAAAAAATGTGTATTCTGTGTTATGGGATGTATAAACCCTATTTTGAGATCACACTGCGATTGGGTACGGGTTTTACAAATTATCGTTATACATAACACATTTGCATGTGATTCAAAAACAAATCATCCAATTTTATTTTCAGATTTTTGATTTAATATTAGCATGTCTAATATTTGAGTTAGTTAATTGACACAACATGTTGTCAAAGTAGTCTCTCTTGTTGAAATTAATTAACTCATATATTAAGATGATTGTGTAC